ATATAGTACATAATAGGGTTTCCCCTATATAGTAACTTAATTCAAGTTCCTTAACAGCAACCAGTAAAGGGATTATAGGGAGCATGTAGGGTTATATCGCGGGTATAGAAGCCATGTTGGGGGTTATATATGTGTGATAACACAAGCTCCAGGATTTTGGTGCGCAGGGTCATGAAGGTTTTGTCCCTATGGACCTTGTAAAACATGGTTGATGACAGCTAGAAGGCGAACCCGACCCTTTCTGAGCTCGAAAGGGCAGGGTCACGGGGGGTCCTCGCAACTACACTCCAAAAAATACCAGAACCTCGGAGAAATACAACAGTGAACAACATTTGTTTGGGGTCTCCCAATCGCTGATTTGTGTTGGATTTAGTGGGACACACCCAATTTAAACTCCAAACCCTAAACCCTAAGCCCTAAACCCTAAACCCGAAAGCCCTAAACCCTGAGCCCTAAACCCTAAACCCTAAACCCCTTAACCCTATTCCGTGCCCAAAAACCACTAAATCCTCGGCTCGAAGTCCACAACCCTACCCAGGACCCTTGGAGAACCTACGGCGACCGGAGTGTAGTAGCGGGACGAGTTCGCCCCGTAGAAGTCGAAACGCTTGCCTTCCAACTTCCAGGGCAGGGATTAGGGTTTTTCAGGGTTTAGGGCTTAAGGTTTAGGGCTTAGGGTTCTTAGGGATTAGGGTTCTTAGGGTTTAGGGCTTAGGGTTTAGGTTTTAGGGTTGATAGGTTTCCCTAAACCCTACACCCTTCACAAAAAATCCTGCGCAGGGTTTTGGGGAGCAGAACTTGGAGCGGGGAAGGTTGAAGGTTTCATGGGTGGGCTATACCCAAGGGCTCCCATGTGGTCATGTTTGATGTTTACTATGTTTTTTACTCTTGGCTTTCGGTTGTATGATTCTGTGCTTGCCGGCTGCCCGCTCTCTTGCGCAGTCACGATTTAGGGGCTTCCCAGCGGGTTCTAGATGAGCTATAGTCTAAACTCCTAGAATCCCCCATACTCCCCGAAATTATCCCCTATATACCCCCTTCTAAGGAGTTTAGAGTATAGCTCAAGTGTGGTCCAGTGGCCTGAAGCCCAAAACTGCCAAGGGTGTGTTTTAAGGCTGTTTAGGGTTTGGGGCTTAGAGTTTTGGGGTGTACAGTTAAGGGCTTTAAACCCTGACCCTAAGCCCCTAAACCCTAAACCCGTAAACCCTAAACCCCTGAATCCTAAACCCCCAAGCCCTAAACCTCTAAACCCTAAACCACTTTAGGGTTCGGGAAGCTTTGAGCTTTGGGAGATACTACCGTCTTGCATCCCACTTGGCGGTTCCAAGAGCCCTAGGGTAAAATCTACATCCCCCTTCCAAACGAATGTAGGCCCTGACGACAATGGCCAGATGGACCCCAGACCCGTAATAGTGCTATAACAGCTAGATACGAGGACAATGATATAATCACTATTATGCCTTTTAGTCTCACTGTTGCTGGGTAAGGGGTCCACCTGAACAATGGCAAACAAAAAGAGATCTACATAGCAAGGTAACGCTAAATCTGAGCACTAAGCCTAAATCTTGAAGCCGTAACTCAAGCCTCAATCCTAACTTGGACCTCGAACGTATGTGAACTAATGGCCAAAGAACCATGTCGAAGAAACGAAAAGGCATTGTTTCTTTACATGATTTGGGGGGTCAAGGTCCTAAATCCCACACCAAAAGCCCTAAACTCCGTACACCGAAAATCAAGCCCAATCCACTCGAACCTCCGCTTGCTCCGATGCAGCGTACCGGCTGCGCGTTGAAGGACGAAGGACCCCAGCGGCAAGCCTACACTTAGATATGCATGGGTGAGGGTTCATCAGAGTTCACAGAGTTCAGTGGGTGTGCAAGGCTTATGGATATTTGTAGGGCTAGCTGCTGTTATAGGTTTGTAAGGGCTAGAGGGTTCAGTAGGGTATAAAGCTTGATAAGGCTTGCAGGGTTTTGCTTCCCTGGACTTGGAAAACCGGGCTCACAACTACTTGGTTTCGGTGTCTAGTCTCAAACTAACACTTGTTGGTGTTAAATCCTCTTAGGGGATTGACCTTGTTCCTGCTGGAATGCTTCAGCGCAAGGTAGGTACTATTTAAAGACGGAAGGCCCAAACAAAGTATCATCCTAAACCCTAAACTTCTAAAAGTCCGTACTATTTACAGACTTCAGGCCCAAAGTAGGTACCCATCTATAGGGTTTAGTGCGCGAGGCATTATCTATGAATTCAGATGCCCAGGGAATGGCATGCGTTCTTTTCTCACGGCTCCGCGCGTACGCAAACACGAAGTCCTCGAAAGTCCAACACCCGCAGGTTGCTTAGCCTTAGTCTCGGTTTAGGGTTTAAGGTTTAGGGTTAGGGGTTTAGGGCTTGGGTTTATGGTTCAGGTTTTGGGGTTTAGGATCAACCTCATATGCTCCTAAGCCCTAAACGCTAAATCCTGATCCCTAGACCATAAGCCCTGAACCCCAAAACCTAATTCCTAAACCCTAAGGCCCCAAGTGAGTAGTGTTTTTTTGGTGGTTGAACTTAGTAAGCGAATATTCCTTATATGAAATACTATACCCCAAAATGAAGATACAATCTTACTCTATATTGGGTACCATAATATCCCCAAATAAAATACTACTCAAGTATGACCCAGGAGCAACACAGCGGCTTCTAAGCTCTTGTTGAAACCTTGGCCAAACGTCAGCGTCCGAAGTCCGCTCGGAAGAGAAGTTCCTTGTAGGCTCTGGTTGAAATCGGCACCGAAGATCCTAGGGTTCAGCGTTCGGGGCTTCAGGGTTGAGGGTTTAGGCGGAACGGTTTAGGCCCTAAATCCTGAACCCTAAACTTAGGGTGAGTGGTTTAGCACTTGGGGTTCTCGAGCTCAGAGTGTTAAGAGTTACAGGTGTAGGGTTTCAGGGTGTAGGGTTTGATGGTTTAGGGTTTCATGGTTTAAGTTTTGAGGTTTTAGGGATTTATGTGTGCAACCTCCCTAGAATCAAAACGCCTTGTTAGGGACTATTTCAAATTTGGGACGTATTAGGGACGATTTGAAAGTAGGGCCTTATAAGGTATTATTTCAAATCAGGGGCTTAGTAGGAACTATTTCAAATCAGGGCATTAGTAGGGACTATTTCTAATCAAATGAGGGCCTTGGAATCTGTTTCTGGAATTCTTCTACATAAGTTCCTTTATAAAAACCGTTCGAAATCAATCAAAACCCAGGAAATCAAGGAGATCCCTAATCCTTAAGAATCGTGCTAAACACCCCCCCTGAATTCAGAGGATCCGAGCCGCAATTAGCTTTACTCTTGGCCCTTTTTAAAAAATGCATTGGGGGCAGATTTCAGAATTTGGAACTTGGGCGAACCCATATTTAATATTAGCGTGGATCTAGATATTAGAGGGAAGCGATTAGACTCTAAACCCTATCCCCCTAAAACCTAAATCCTAAACCCTCAACCCTCAGATCCAAAAGCTTAAAGCCCTAAAACCCTAAACCAACCCTTAAAGCCTAAACCCTAAACCCTCAGACCGAAAAGCTTAAACCCTAAACCCTAAACCCTTAAACCCTTAAACCTTAAACCTCAACCCTAAACCCTAAACCCTAAACCCTGAAACCCTTAAACCCTTAAACCTTAAACCCTAAACCCTAAACCCTAAACCCTAAACCCTGCAACCCTAAACCCTTAAACCCTTAAAGCCTAAACCCGCCAAGAAGCAAAGTTTGGAGGCTACTGGGCAGCTCCACAGCGGCCAAGCTCTGGTTGAAGCTGCGGCCGAAGGCCAGACTCTTTAAGTTGCCTGCTGCGATTTTTGGGTTGGGATTTAAGGGGGGGGTTAAGGGTTTAAGGGTTTAGGGTTTAGGGGTTTAGGTTTAAAGGGTTTAGGGTTTAGGACTTTTAAGTTGCCTGCTGGGATTTAGGGGGGTTTAAGGGGGGGGTTAAGGAGGGTTAAGGGTTGTTGGGGATCTGGATGTACAGGGAGTAGAGTTCACGGTTTCGGTCTTGGGTTGGGAGTTTAAGGCATTGCTACTCGCGGTCAAACTGGTTTCTGGTTGAGGTTCGAGGGAGTTACCCTAAACCCTAAACCCAGGCATCTATTGCGTCTAGACAGCTGAGAAGCCGAAAGGCTTAGGATTTGGGTTTCAGGGGTGTAGGGTTACGGGCTTGGAGTTCAGTGTTAGGGTGTGGTGTTGACCTTGACCCTAAATCTTAAGGTACAAGGTTTGGAGGCTTAGAGGTTTGGAGCCCAGAGTTCAGGGTCCTGAACCCTAAGCCCTCAACCCTAAAGCCCTGCACCCTTAACCCTCAAACCCTAAACCCGTAAACCCTTAAACCCGTAAACCCTTAACCCTTACACCCTACACTCTAAAACCCTAAACCCCTAAAATCCTAAACCCCTAAAAACCTTAAACCCCTCAAAACCCTAAACCCTACGGTCTATCCTTGGGGAGCTTTGGGTTTCTCCTTTGTGGCTGTACGTCTTTTGCGGAAATCAGGACACCTGTGATGTGCAAGGTTTAGGGGTTTAGGGTTTTGGGGGTTTTGGGGTTTAGGGTTTTAGGGGTTTAGGGTTTTAGAGTTTAGGGTGTAGGGTCTAGGGTTCAAGGGTTTAGGGTTTAAGGGTGTACAGCTGTGCATGTATATGGGGATTTCCCAAAAATAAGGGTACCATGGGGGGGGGGTCCCCAGAATAAGGATTGTAGTATATTAGGGTCTAGATAAGGGTACCTCCTCTTTTGGGAAACTACCAGATATCTGTACTTGTACATAGTTTACACGTGCATTTATATATATGAATATATACATGCATGTGTGTAGATGTGGATGTTTACACTAAACGTATTGTACCTTGGTACAGGGTGGGTAGGTGGGTCACAGTACATATCGTATCTTTACTCCACCTTGGTGATTTGCAAGGGTGTAAACTACCAGCACCTCGTTTCCATCTCTAATTACCGGTTCCAAGCTTTCCCAAACAACAATGAAAAAAAGGGGTCAGAACACACAAGTTACATTCGCCTTCTATGCGTGTATGCAGCATACTCCTTAAATTTACATTCGCCCTCTATGCGCGTATACAGAGTGCTCCTTCAAACTTGAAAAACCCCACCCTCGACCATTGCCCAGTTGCTTGGGAAGGCCACATCATCCAAGCTGTGGTTGAACCGGTCACCGAAAGTCAATGTCTGCAGATTGCTGGGTAGCCTGGGTTGATATTAGGGAGCTTTAACTAAGTAAGCATGGAAAGCATGGGCAACAAGTAATGCTGGTAGGGAGCCTTAACTAAGTAAGCGTGATAAGCATATACAGCATGATAAGCATGTACAGCAAACATTCGGGGTAGCAACGCCATTTTCCTGACGGCAAACCCAGCAACAGGGTCGCTGTCAAGCTCTCATTTTAGTGGACGATATGGTTGCCTTATTGTCATAGTCACGTTAGCTTCCGCAGCGGCAGCCGCGCAGCAGCTTGAGGAGCCTAAACCCGATACCCTAATTAAGCCCTGAACTCCAAACCCTGAAGCGTTGCCGCTGATAAGGCTCCATACTAAGCCCCAAGCCTTCACCTGTAACACGAAAAAAACCCAGATTACGCTATACAATGCCTAGATCAACCCCATAGAATCCTATGTAGAGCCTCTATAACCCGGTAAGGCCTCCCCCAGTATGATACACTCCTTAACAGCAGCCTAAACGCTAAGCCCTAACCCCCAATCCCTATGTAAGGCCTGCAATTTTACGTTCCTTAAAAGCAGCAAGGTAGCGTTACCGCTGATAAGCTCTCGTTGAAGCAGTCCCCAAAGGTCCTTAGTACCCTTGGACCTATAACATGGTAAATACGTTGAATAACTTAGGGTTATGCTACACTGAAAGTAAAAATGAATATCATATGAATATGTTTTAAGCAACTCCTTCGGGATGTAATGTAAGATACTTAAACAAGAGTACTTGCTACGAGGACCCCCTAACCCTACATCCCTAAACCCCAGATGATTCCGCCTATAATACTCCCCTATATAATCCCCTTGAAGGAATTTAGACTATAGCTCAAACCTTAAACCCCAAACCCTAGACTTAAACCCTAAACCTAAACAGTTCCTAAAGGAGACTCGGGGGTCAAGGTCTCAAGGCCGCTGGGCAGAGCGACAACGTCTAGGCTTTGGTCGAAATACTGGCCGAACGACAACCTCAGGGTTCTTTTAGGGTTTTAGGGTTTAGGGTTGTGGGGTTGAGGAGTTTAGGGGTTTAGGGCTCAAGGATTTTGGGGATGTTAGTTTTTTTGTTTATTGAACCTTTTTCGTGCAAGAATGCGGGGTTTAAGGGTTTGGGGTTCATTTGAGGAGGTATCCATATAACCTAACAAAACCCCTGAATCCCTAAACTCTTTAAGCCCTGGAGGTACCCACCTTTTCAAGTTGCTTGGTAGGTGGACGCCCTCCAGGCTTTGGTCGAAATGGTGGCCGAATGTCCTGACTAAACTGCAACACAAGGTTCAGGGTTTCGAGTTTGGGGTGTCAGGTTTTAGGGTTGTTTTGGGATCTTAGGGCTTAGGATTTAGGGTTTGGGGTTTAGGGTTTAGGATTTAGCGTTTAGGGTTCAGTGTTTAATATTGAAGGTGCAGGGTTTAGTTGCCATAGGATTCGAGCTCAGGGTTTTTCTACAAGAGACTTTAAGAGTTGAGGGCTTAACGACAACTGTCTCGAAACTTGACATAGAGACGGCCTGGAATGAACTTGCCCATAAACTACCGCCCTTTCGTGTGATGTCGCCTGAGGTCGCCATACTGTTGAAAGTACCTGAACCGCAAGGGTAGGTAAGCTAATGGTCCAAACTGCCCAGTAGAAATATTAATAGTAACGGGACCTACGTGTAAGGCAAAGAATGGTAGCAAACATGACGACGTCGCCCAGTCACCCTAAACAAGAAGTGGAACTATCAGACGCTTGTTTTCACGGGGTGTGGGATCAAAGCATACATGGGGGCCAAAACATATGCCTTTCCTATCCCAGTAAGCAATGGCAACAACAAGTACAAGACAACCATGCCCTGCAAAATGCCAAGTGCAACCCAGCATGGGCGCAACAAAGCAACAGGATCAGTATAACAATGCCGAGAACCCTGGCCACAAAAAGCACACATAAGTACACAGCTGCAGAGAACAGAATAGAACACAAGTGCACAAGCCACTGACATGCGGATGAGGCATCCCGAACACGCCAGTCCCACGACGATGCACCGTGGGCGCACTACAGTGCAATCGTAGTAGTGATGGTAAGAGAATACTGGTAGTAAGAATAACAGTCAGAGAAGCTGAAAAAGACACAACATGAACACAACAAGTCAGACTTTGTAATAACGATCATGCAATCCCCTCCCCAATTCAATAACAATGCAAACCCCACCCCCTGAAATAAATATTCCTGCTAGGAGACAAGTCGTGTGGGATTGTATAACCGCCCTGATAAAAACTACTCTTAACACCTTTAACAACACAAAAAATGCAACCTCACCACAAAACATGCATAGTGCTAGGAGTGGTTCTTCTGTAGGCACACTGTAGCGCTGTTAACCCTGAACCCTTAGCCTGTAAGCTCGGTCATCAGAGGATGGGATAAGCCCTAAACCCTAAACCCTTAAATCCTTAAACCCCTAAATCCTTAAACCCCTAAACCCTTAAACCCCTAAATCCTTAAATCCTTAAACCCCTAAACCCTTAAACCCCTAAATCCTCAAATCCTTAAACCCCTAAACCCTT